TGGGAAATATCTCCTTACTCGATAGAAACTGACAACAAAGAATCGTAATAAAAACTGATGTCTGAGCGACCAATAGCGCCGCTCCCCCCTTCCTTGGAGATAACGGATTGTTGTGTGAAAGGGTCAGGGACGCTCGTCGCGTGGGTTACGAGTTTGAATTGCAAATTTTCTATCAGTGCGGGTGTTCAGGGCGGAAGGCCAATATTTTCAGCCGTCAAGGTATCGCTAAGGGTTGCACGCAAAGAAATGAAAACGCTGTCAAACTGTGTTTGGTGGTGCGCACCTATCAGGCATGAAAATGTTGTTAGAATAATATCATTTAAGTTTCAAGTAATGCTTTAGTCATACCCTTTGGTCTCCTTTAGCGGTCTACAATTCAAATCGTGCGACGTGCATCGCCGACACTTTCACATAGACCCTCCCCGCCCCCCTCCCTGGTTAACAGCCGGCCTGAAACAAGTGATAGTCACAAAACGGTGCTTGCACACAGCGAAAAGGACTAAACACAGCAGCTCACATAGATGCTAGGCAAGCGTGTATATGGAGAAAATACAAGTGACAAGTGGGATATTCCATGGTATACCACGAGAGAGCGTTGTATAACTATTTTGTACCACGTCAAATACAGTGGTCAACACAATCAATGCGACATACGCGCGGCGCATGATGAAAAGGTTGCACGTAATACCATCGAATGTATAACAGCTTTCCGGCATTCTGATTCGCTGTATTTTCAATGGCATGGTATAAAGAAACATATGTCTATCTCAGGCAGCAATGCCATATCTCAGTTGCACGGATGGAGTGTCTTAGACAGTGCCTTGATTTACCTACCGTTGCTAGATTTTATTCCTTTTGCTATCAAGTCTTTAAGATCTGGTATTAACTTATTGACGTCATCAGCCGACAGATTAGATGACTCAGATTGTTTTGATGCCGTTTCGTCGGTTTCAATTTGCTACAAACAATAAAAAAATAAATAAAAAAAATTAAAGCTTGTACACCTCTACACTCAAGGACCGAACGAAATCAGGGACCTTTGGCAATTCGTTAGTATGAACTATTAGAACCAAAATAAACTAAAAACGTGTGTGTTACTGTCCGCTTTCCACCAAAATTGGCTTGTTGTCTTGAAGAGAAAACAAATTTTCGGGCTTTCCTTGAGGCGAGATTTAACTCTGATGTACTAGCTCGAAAATCATTCTCACCAAGAAAAATTACCAAGAAAAATATGCTGAGAGGCTCAATAACAACTTTACTCAGGAGAATGTCTACAAAATGGTAAAATATTCCACTTGATGTTGCCTTACCTTTGAACTTGGCCTGAACTCTGGGACTTCGACATCCTGGAGTATTTCGATAATGCGACTGTCACTTAAATCCTGTTCAAAATAGAAATAACTGAGATGCGTAAAGTCATGTAAAAAACATCACAAGAAATTGGTGAAGATAGTTGCTGGGAGAGGAGTACAATCAAAATGCAATGTTGTGCAACGAAGTATTAATATTGTGCCTGCTAAAACGAAGATAATTACATGTAACATTGTGATGATTTAAATAATTTCCTTCTGAGTGTTATCCCCAGTAAGAAAACTGGCAGCCTGTCACTGTAAGACCTGCCAAGAGAGCTGGCTTTCCGGCCTGGAGAATAGGGCCCAAACAGAGCTACACGGAGAAAACATTTGTTTTTAACCCACTACTTCCGAACAATGCCACAGTCTTAAGTCTAAAATCCCATTCAAGCAAGTATTCGATTCGTTTTCAAACAAGATTCCATACAGCCTGCAAACACAGGCAGATTTCCGGATATTGTTTCGCGCCGCAAAAGCCGGAAATCCGTCTGTGTCCGTAGGCTAGATTCCATGTGGTTCCATACACAAGACAAAAATAAAAAAAAAATTATAATCTAAGTATAAATCTATCACGAATGCCGTTCGCTGATTGGCTACGTTACTCACTATCTATTCTGTTGTAGATAGTGAGTAGCCTAGCAGTGTGCGCTTTTTAAAAAACTGGCGGCCGCTTCTTTGCGTTTTCGAACTGTCTGCGAGGAGGATTTCGATAAAGTTTTGAACGACTAGTAGACTTATACTAAAACAATTAGATTATTCGCTCTCGATTTCTATCGCGTGATAGTTGACCGGGGCGCTATCACGCGATAGAAATCTCGAGCGAATAATCTACCAATGTTTAATAGGATGAGTACCGGAATTGAATTCAGTATTACATTGTCCCTTAACATATACAAGCTCACTAGACAGCTGTGATACCATTTTAACAAACCTGTGTTGTGTACTTGACGCCACAAGTGTCAGCGTGAAGTTTACTGCTACTTTTTATGAAAAGCATATGTCTGAGGAGAGAAACAAACACAGAAAACTTAAGCTCATCATCAAAATTCTCCCAAGTATTTGTAATACATTTCTTTGTGATTCACCTTAGGAGAATATAGGGTTCCACCAAGAGATGATAAGGTGCTAATTTCTTATGACATTATAGTATTAAGGAACTAAATAAGAAGCAAGAAAAAGTTAAAAGTCTAACCGCATTTTTCGCTCGGCTCTCGCCGTATTTGAAAGTCAGTCAAGCGAGTCATTCAAACTGACGCACATGGTTTGCATAATTGATGTAATCTCCTCATTTAAACTAACCCTTGAATGACACAAAGGAAATTTGTTCACACTAATGCCCAATTCACATCAACTAAACTAGTTGAGCTAAATCAGGTTTAGGTTTTTTCAATTTGTCCATTCCACTTTGCAGTCATTTTGAGAAAAAAAATTCAAACCATCTGGCTAATATATTAAGCTATACTTCAATCAAACAGGTTTTCAGCTTGTTTAGTTGTGGGGTGTGCACAGTATAAGCAACTAATTTTTAACCTTGTTTACTTAAACCACTTTTACATGTAAATACGTTTATCAAGTTGGTGTGGACGGGGTATAAAAGAGCAAAATACTGGACTATAGTTAAGCGAAATATTCAATCAAACAGAAAGCACTTACAATTCATTTTTAGTGCTGAACTGTTGTGGTATTGGTGGTCTCTTGGGGCTTTGCCAAAACAGCGCTGAAAATGGAGAGGATATTGTGGGTATTAAAAGTTAGGTAAGTTAAGAACTAATATGAAATGGCACTACTCGTAATTAACTTACATCCATCCTTGACCCTTGTATCCAAAGGAAATGCATGGAGCAATTGTTTGGCCTAGAAGAAAATAAAATTTTAAATATTTTATGAAAATTACAACAGGTTTAACATTCTGGGCCGTGTTGTTCAAACCCCGATTAAGCCAACCTATAGGATTAACGAGAATTTTGATTTCAGTTTTGTAACGTTTCGGTGAGATTTTCTGTTTACAGTGTTTGTCCTTCTGTATTGAATTATTTAATCTCAAACTACACAAACCTGCGATCGCACTAGACTCCGGATCGAGTTACCTGGGCTTGGGTCATTTAATCTGTCGTGTTCTTGGGCAAGACACTTCATTCTCAGTGTACCTCTTCACTCAGGTGTATAAAGAGGTACCAGCGAATTTACGCTAAGGGTAAACCATCAATGGACAATCAACCCATACCGGGAGTAGAAATACTCCTAGACGTTTTATGCGACGTATCGAAACGGAAACAGGTGACAAGCGACGGCACGATGGGCCTCTCTAAATAACACTGTACCGATTTCACAAAGTCATCGGATGAAATCTTGGAGCCCAGATGTATCGCAGAAAAAAACCCTCTCGCACAACAGTCATGAAAGAAAAACCCCGACCCCGACCCCCACCAGTCGTTTCATCACAACCCTTTTCGACTGCGCTAACGTGAACTTTCTTTTTCTCTTGCCATTTTGTCTTTTCCTGCCATTTTGTTCATCATCGGACCAGCTCTCACCTTGTGGTTGTAGTACTTCTCAAATTCTATTCTACTACGAGCAACACAGCTCGCCCAGTCTAAAGGTCGCCGTTTTAACAGTTTTATAACCCGATAAACGCCTTCAGGTTCATTTCCAGATTGAAGGGTCTACAAAAGAAACCGAACAAGACAATGCATCAGCAAAAGCCACATCCATTGTATTAGAACATGTTACTCCTCAGTTTTATTTCTTTGCTGGAGTCTTGTGTACGGAGGCAAGCCAAATTTACAGCCGAGGACCAAACATTTCCTCCCCAATAAAATCAAATATAAAATGCGTGGATCGGACTTAGAAGGGGTCTGACGACTCAGCCACAATCACGGAAAAAAGTAGTTGAGACACTTTCCGAAAACAAACTTTCTCCCTTCAAGTGTAATTTGTCCTACCTACACTCCTCATATTTGGCAACCTCCACCCTTTCCAATGTTGTAATCACGCGTCGCCAAAGCCTGTTTCAACATAAAATTGGGGTGGGGGTGAGGGTTGGCTATTGACGAAAAACGTGTTTCTTTTATCAAGGGGAGTGCGGATCTCGGTTCGAAAACGTCCCATTTCGAAAATGTCTCAACACTTTTGTTCCTGATTGTAGGTCCAAACTAAAACTTATGACACACAAGGCCTCTACTTTTTAGACAAGAGAAGGAATGAGAGTTTATAATCACGTTTTTCTCTCTTATCTTTGTCTTTTCACAACGTTCATTGTTTAATGCGGTTGGCAGTAAATTAGAGCCTATTTTGTTCCCTGATACTCCGGTGTGCTGATAAAAAAAGATCGAATAATATGACTTTCTCAAAAAAATTCCTCGATGGTAATAATTTCATGACCTTATCCCACGTTGCATTACTGACACGTAGGTTCACCTAACGCTTATAGCTGCTTAATTTAGATAAATGAAAGTTAGTTGCTTACCTCCAAAAGTTGTTCTGGAGATCCATTTGTTGACCAAAATGTCATGTACAATCTAGGCTTTTGAGTATAACAATTTTCAAACTAAAAAAAAATAGAGAACACACAATTGGTTAGTTCAGTCAAATATAAAGTAGGAAACGTTGTGTACAAGGGTGGCCGTTTAATTGGGGTAAACTGTATGCACATCCTTAAAAGCTGCTTCCTTACCTTGAAATATTTCAAAAAGCTTTTCAGTTTATAATCTTGCGTACCCTTGACGACCCACTTGTCCCAGTTTGAGAAGGACAGGCCTTCCCTTTGGAATGAAATAAAACGAGAAGAGATCATCACTGTCATATAACCATGCATAACAAATGTTAAAAAAAAAAGTACTGGGCTCACCTGATTACTGTGACCTCAGGGGGGCCTGGTTCAGAGAAGATGACATATGGTAGTGCCAGGTTCATGAAGCAGTTTTTGAAGTCTTCTGCGGGACTCTTCATAACTACTTTGACCAGCTCGATAGCGACCTGAGACAGAGGCAATACACTCAGGTCCGTATTACTAAGCATCATGCAGTGATAAATGCTATCTTCTTTTCCCTGCATAGTATCGGGAAAACGCCCTCTTGCAGTACGTGGGAAGTTTGTCATATTTGGACCTACAATAGTTATGGGACGGCCTGGAGGTGGTGCTGGGATCCTATCACTCACCAGTTAAACTTTTGGCGATCTTCCAGCCGCTATGAGTTAAAATTTAAGTTCATTTTTAGCTATAAGTAAATTTTGCAGATCTCACATATCGGCAATCAGTTCAAAAACGCGCCACTTCTCATCTGACAGTTCAAATATTGACCAGTTATCAGTTAAACCCCATCCTAATCTCGAACCCAGATCTCCCACGTCAGCGTCAAACAGAGTGAGATCAACAAGAATAGCCCCATCCAGACACTCTTGTGTAGCTTTCTCTCTCTATACGTACATATATGAAGGCCTAGCTCTCATGAGTATCCTAGAGCTCAGTGTTAGAACCTGGAAATCTCTTCCCGATTAGATTGAATCACTCCTACTTACCAAGCCGGCTACAGCAGCGGTAGTTGTAGCGATGGCTGGAACTATTTTACCCGCGATTTTCTTCGTTTTTAAGCGGTCAGCGGGTTCTATACTGTACATCGTCGCACGAAGGTTCTGAAACATATAAACATCGTGAAGAATGCTCAATCCAAAATCACACAAATACTTAAACTGCCAGCAATTAAAAAAATCTTCCAAAAAGGCAGGGAGGATAGAACTAGTAGCTGCTAGNTTGTACCACGTCAAATACAGTGGTCAACACAATCAATGCGACATACGCGCGGCGCATGATGAAAAGGTTGCACGTAATACCATCGAATGTATAACAGCTTTCCGGCATTCTGATTCGCTGTATTTTCAATGGCATGGTATAAAGAAACATATGTCTATCTCAGGCAGCAATGCCATATCTCAGTTGCACGGATGGAGTGTCTTAGACAGTGCCTTGATTTACCTACCGTTGCTAGATTTTATTCCTTTTGCTATCAAGTCTTTAAGATCTGGTATTAACTTATTGACGTCATCAGCCGACAGATTAGATGACTCAGATTGTTTTGATGCCGTTTCGTCGGTTTCAATTTGCTACAAACAATAAAAAAATAAATAAAAAAAATTAAAGCTTGTACACCTCTACACTCAAGGACCGAACGAAATCAGGGACCTTTGGCAATTCGTTAGTATGAACTATTAGAACCAAAATAAACTAAAAACGTGTGTGTTACTGTCCGCTTTCCACCAAAATTGGCTTGTTGTCTTGAAGAGAAAACAAATTTTCGGGCTTTCCTTGAGGCGAGATTTAACTCTGATGTACTAGCTCGAAAATCATTCTCACCAAGAAAAATTACCAAGAAAAATATGCTGAGAGGCTCAATAACAACTTTACTCAGGAGAATGTCTACAAAATGGTAAAATATTCCACTTGATGTTGCCTTACCTTTGAACTTGGCCTGAACTCTGGGACTTCGACATCCTGGAGTATTTCGATAATGCGACTGTCACTTAAATCCTGTTCAAAATAGAAATAACTGAGATGCGTAAAGTCATGTAAAAAACATCACAAGAAATTGGTGAAGATAGTTGCTGGGAGAGGAGTACAATCAAAATGCAATGTTGTGCAACGAAGTATTAATATTGTGCCTGCTAAAACGAAGATAATTACATGTAACATTGTGATGATTTAAATAATTTCCTTCTGAGTGTTATCCCCAGTAAGAAAACTGGCAGCCTGTCACTGTAAGACCTGCCAAGAGAGCTGGCTTTCCGGCCTGGAGAATAGGGCCCAAACAGAGCTACACGGAGAAAACATTTGTTTTTAACCCACTACTTCCGAACAATGCCACAGTCTTAAGTCTAAAATCCCATTCAAGCAAGTATTCGATTCGTTTTCAAACAAGATTCCATACAGCCTGCAAACACAGGCAGATTTCCGGATATTGTTTCGCGCCGCAAAAGCCGGAAATCCGTCTGTGTCCGTAGGCTAGATTCCATGTGGTTCCATACACAAGACAAAAATAAAAAAAAAATTATAATCTAAGTATAAATCTATCACGAATGCCGTTCGCTGATTGGCTACGTTACTCACTATCTATTCTGTTGTAGATAGTGAGTAGCCTAGCAGTGTGCGCTTTTTAAAAAACTGGCGGCCGCTTCTTTGCGTTTTCGAACTGTCTGCGAGGAGGATTTCGATAAAGTTTTGAACGACTAGTAGACTTATACTAAAACAATTAGATTATTCGCTCTCGATTTCTATCGCGTGATAGTTGACCGGGGCGCTATCACGCGATAGAAATCTCGAGCGAATAATCTACCAATGTTTAATAGGATGAGTACCGGAATTGAATTCAGTATTACATTGTCCCTTAACATATACAAGCTCACTAGACAGCTGTGATACCATTTTAACAAACCTGTGTTGTGTACTTGACGCCACAAGTGTCAGCGTGAAGTTTACTGCTACTTTTTATGAAAAGCATATGTCTGAGGAGAGAAACAAACACAGAAAACTTAAGCTCATCATCAAAATTCTCCCAAGTATTTGTAATACATTTCTTTGTGATTCACCTTAGGAGAATATAGGGTTCCACCAAGAGATGATAAGGTGCTAATTTCTTATGACATTATAGTATTAAGGAACTAAATAAGAAGCAAGAAAAAGTTAAAAGTCTAACCGCATTTTTCGCTCGGCTCTCGCCGTATTTGAAAGTCAGTCAAGCGAGTCATTCAAACTGACGCACATGGTTTGCATAATTGATGTAATCTCCTCATTTAAACTAACCCTTGAATGACACAAAGGAAATTTGTTCACACTAATGCCCAATTCACATCAACTAAACTAGTTGAGCTAAATCAGGTTTAGGTTTTTTCAATTTGTCCATTCCACTTTGCAGTCATTTTGAGAAAAAAAATTCAAACCATCTGGCTAATATATTAAGCTATACTTCAATCAAACAGGTTTTCAGCTTGTTTAGTTGTGGGGTGTGCACAGTATAAGCAACTAATTTTTAACCTTGTTTACTTAAACCACTTTTACATGTAAATACGTTTATCAAGTTGGTGTGGACGGGGTATAAAAGAGCAAAATACTGGACTATAGTTAAGCGAAATATTCAATCAAACAGAAAGCACTTACAATTCATTTTTAGTGCTGAACTGTTGTGGTATTGGTGGTCTCTTGGGGCTTTGCCAAAACAGCGCTGAAAATGGAGAGGATATTGTGGGTATTAAAAGTTAGGTAAGTTAAGAACTAATATGAAATGGCACTACTCGTAATTAACTTACATCCATCCTTGACCCTTGTATCCAAAGGAAATGCATGGAGCAATTGTTTGGCCTAGAAGAAAATAAAATTTTAAATATTTTATGAAAATTACAACAGGTTTAACATTCTGGGCCGTGTTGTTCAAACCCCGATTAAGCCAACCTATAGGATTAACGAGAATTTTGATTTCAGTTTTGTAACGTTTCGGTGAGATTTTCTGTTTACAGTGTTTGTCCTTCTGTATTGAATTATTTAATCTCAAACTACACAAACCTGCGATCGCACTAGACTCCGGATCGAGTTACCTGGGCTTGGGTCATTTAATCTGTCGTGTTCTTGGGCAAGACACTTCATTCTCAGTGTACCTCTTCACTCAGGTGTATAAAGAGGTACCAGCGAATTTACGCTAAGGGTAAACCATCAATGGACAATCAACCCATACCGGGAGTAGAAATACTCCTAGACGTTTTATGCGACGTATCGAAACGGAAACAGGTGACAAGCGACGGCACGATGGGCCTCTCTAAATAACACTGTACCGATTTCACAAAGTCATCGGATGAAATCTTGGAGCCCAGATGTATCGCAGAAAAAAACCCTCTCGCACAACAGTCATGAAAGAAAAACCCCGACCCCGACCCCCACCAGTCGTTTCATCACAACCCTTTTCGACTGCGCTAACGTGAACTTTCTTTTTCTCTTGCCATTTTGTCTTTTCCTGCCATTTTGTTCATCATCGGACCAGCTCTCACCTTGTGGTTGTAGTACTTCTCAAATTCTATTCTACTACGAGCAACACAGCTCGCCCAGTCTAAAGGTCGCCGTTTTAACAGTTTTATAACCCGATAAACGCCTTCAGGTTCATTTCCAGATTGAAGGGTCTACAAAAGAAACCGAACAAGACAATGCATCAGCAAAAGCCACATCCATTGTATTAGAACATGTTACTCCTCAGTTTTATTTCTTTGCTGGAGTCTTGTGTACGGAGGCAAGCCAAATTTACAGCCGAGGACCAAACATTTCCTCCCCAATAAAATCAAATATAAAATGCGTGGATCGGACTTAGAAGGGGTCTGACGACTCAGCCACAATCACGGAAAAAAGTAGTTGAGACACTTTCCGAAAACAAACTTTCTCCCTTCAAGTGTAATTTGTCCTACCTACACTCCTCATATTTGGCAACCTCCACCCTTTCCAATGTTGTAATCACGCGTCGCCAAAGCCTGTTTCAACATAAAATTGGGGTGGGGGTGAGGGTTGGCTATTGACGAAAAACGTGTTTCTTTTATCAAGGGGAGTGCGGATCTCGGTTCGAAAACGTCCCATTTCGAAAATGTCTCAACACTTTTGTTCCTGATTGTAGGTCCAAACTAAAACTTATGACACACAAGGCCTCTACTTTTTAGACAAGAGAAGGAATGAGAGTTTATAATCACGTTTTTCTCTCTTATCTTTGTCTTTTCACAACGTTCATTGTTTAATGCGGTTGGCAGTAAATTAGAGCCTATTTTGTTCCCTGATACTCCGGTGTGCTGATAAAAAAAGATCGAATAATATGACTTTCTCAAAAAAATTCCTCGATGGTAATAATTTCATGACCTTATCCCACGTTGCATTACTGACACGTAGGTTCACCTAACGCTTATAGCTGCTTAATTTAGATAAATGAAAGTTAGTTGCTTACCTCCAAAAGTTGTTCTGGAGATCCATTTGTTGACCAAAATGTCATGTACAATCTAGGCTTTTGAGTATAACAATTTTCAAACTAAAAAAAAATAGAGAACACACAATTGGTTAGTTCAGTCAAATATAAAGTAGGAAACGTTGTGGGCTTGTTGTAGTTCCCTTCCGAAGTAAAAGAAAATACTACAGAGGCAAAAATCTTGGTCAACTCAATACAAAATCAGACTAATTTGATATTAGATGAATAGTGAAAAGTAAAATTATATATTACCGTGGTCTTAAAGATCAGAGTTAAATTAAACAGGTTTAGCTTCTCATCCCACCCCGTACGTAATATAACCTTTCTTAAAACGTCACCCACCTGCATGATCGATAAGCTAGAGTGCGATACAGTACTCTTCGATTTCAATATCATATACCTCCTATTCTACTACGACTATTACTCAGGGAAAACCCAATATCATTATGGGCAGGTATAGGGCAACACAACAACGTTACCTTATCTCTGGCCCACTGTATTGTGTGCTCTATAATCGCTGGAAACGACTTGAGTGTACAGTGCGGCACGTCTTCCTCTGGAGGATCTCGCTGTGAATAGAAAAAGAACCAATCAAAAACAAGCATGACACCATCATGCGCCGTGACTTAGCCCCAACCTCGTTTTCAGGGTCTCATACTTCTCTCACCCCGGTAGGGCGGGAATATGAGAGACCCTGGGAACGAGCTTGACTTGTCCCGCGGTTTTCGAAAGAAGACATTTTCAGACAACATGATATATCTTTATAGCGTTATTCTACAGTAACATTTTATTTCCCTTTTCTGTAACCAAAAAGCGATGTATTTCAACGGAAAGTATTTACATACCTGACTGGCATATGACTCTGTAAGATGAGGAACAATGACCTGTTGACAAAACAGGTTAACATATTAAGGCAAACCGTCTTGCAGAGCCTACGGGAATCATAGTTAATCAAGGAAGGTACACGATAGTTTGATCCCGAAGACCTATGGGCAGATAATTACAAACTTTCGTCGCGCTGATTTCACCTAAATTGTCTGCTTTTAGGTCTCTGAGATAGAAGACTCTTTCAGCTTTTCCACCATCAAAGAGAATTTAACTTTGACAAGTTCACAGAGCGCCTGTGTAGTGCCTAAGTCGATCGTAAAAACAAAGACCATTTCTGCCTTTTCCTGTCTCGAAACCAAAATGGCCACCCCGATTTAGACCGGCAATCAAAGTTTGCCTGGGCCACAAGTTTATTAGTTGAGAATGCTATGGGTTATACCTAGTTAATGAAAAGTTGCCTTTTGCTCGAATATCAGGTATTGACCCCAGCTCTCACCTGAACATGTCCCTTGGGTCCCATGGTTCCTGACTCCAGCAGGGCCCTCTGGGTACTCACGCACCGGCTAAAAAAAACAGTACAAATATCATTGTAACTTTACCCCAGGATCGAGCCCCTAAGAAGTGACGCACTACACTAACGGAAGACTACTTAGTGTGAATAGCGGCAAAGGTGTTTCGATGTTCACGGCACATTGTCAGTTTAACAAATTGACGTCAGTTTTTCATGCGTCTGTCCTGTTTTTGATCATGAATTTCGTAATAGCATTGTCAAAGTAGCTGTGGATCCGCAGACTACTTGACAATGTGATGACGAAATTCATTGTCAATAACAGGACAGACGCATTAAAAAGTGACATCAATTTGTTTTTTACGATAACAAATCGTCTGCTCTCGCTCGTTGACGCATCGCATAAATTATAAATTCATGTGTATGTCCGCTTATTGAGAATAAAAATTAACCAATGAGCGCGCGAGAATTTCTGCCGTTATCGTAAAATACGTAATGAACACTCTAGAGGCCAATCTCTAAGGTATGGTGAAGACGGTACATTTCTTCATGAATTGTATTTTGATAACCTGGGATGAATGAAACTTACCTATCCATGTATCGCCGCGCCTCTACATTGTCAAGAGCATTGACCACAAGATCCTGAGACTCAAAAAATTCGTCCGTGTACAGAGCTTCTTCTGTTTCTGGACAAACTGTGAAAACAGAACAGAAGAACCGTGAAAACCAATCAGACCATGCAGTTACATAACAAGTAATCATAACAACCGAAGCTACTAGGAATTACCTCAAGATTTTATTAACAGCAGTGTTATTATAGTATAATGATATCTTTTGACCAGTTTTGTTGCCTGTTACTACAACATAACGCTCAACTTTTTTTTTTTTACAAAGGAGGTCTGTCGTGTAACATCGACGAATTAAGTCATTTTGGTCAAGTCCCTCTTCATGGAGGTCTCAATACTGTGGAACCAATCTACAAGGACAGGGGAACACTCGGCGTATTCGGCCGCAACCCAGACTAAGAACGTTGACTGTGCCCTTGTGTTTTGGCCAGAGATGTTACTAAGCAACACGACATGTCCCGATCACGATAAGCGGACGTTATAACCTTGGGAAAGCTCGTTCTATTTCTGATTGGTTAATTAGAATCAGAAGGTCTTCGGGTACTCGTTTCCCTGATGGTCGGAGTTCAAAAATGCATATGTTACCTTTGTGTTGATGTGGGTCCACATACACATCTGAGAGGAGAAGAACAAGAAAGTCACATATATTCGTACACAGGCCAAGTGAAGTTGTTAAGGTGTATTGCTTTTCCCCCAGGATGGAATATAACAAGGTTTATCAAATTGATCCGATGATCAACATCTATTTTCAGTGACAAATTACTTTGTCTCGTGATGGCATTACATTGCCTTGCAAAATGCAAGAAAAATTGCCTCGTGTAACACGACCTTTTTCATTTATCCACGCGTTTAAAATGGCTTCCCTCTTATACGCTAGGATTCGACAAAATGATGACTGACGACGAATGTCACTGATCCGGTTTGGATCTCATGCCAATGCTGTTAATCTTAACATAGGTGCGATAATGGCCCGGGAAACATAATTTCCATTCAGTGACACATATGCATGTTAATTCCGGCGGTGTATCAGTATATCACTAGCGCTATAACACTGACTGCAGATCTGTTGCCACCTTACCTGGGTTTATTAAGGAAACAGATGCAGCAGCCGTCACAGATTTGGGTTTCTGTAAAAGGACAAAGGTTATTACGCACAACGATTAAGCGTTTGCAACACTTTTCCTCGTTAAGATCACGCAGGCAACGCACGTGTTACCTTTATTATGAATCAAAGTCTGAAACCAAGAGAAGTACATGGTGAAGACGTTACTAGACAACACAACCAACTCCAACAAGGTAACGCTGATGTGACACTCGCGAAAACTAGTGCTATGTTAGGATAAGAGAATGTAAATCTTCGTCTGAGAGGAGGAAACCAAAATCTTCGATCTCCTAGCCTTGCAAAAGCAAAAGAAATCAAGACTCTGAGACGGCGTCGCCAAAACATTCGAGAGAGGGAGACCCCTGGAATTTTGTCAAATTTCCGCAAAACGCGTAACTTGAATTTTTTTAACCACACCCCACACCTAGAATAGGCAGCCCGTCACAAGCTTGTTCCCCGGCCGTCTGATCGAGATTCTTCGTCAACTCACAGCTCATCAGCGTTCTATGGAATCTAAGATTTTAAAAGCTGAAATTCAAACTAAGACAGCCCTTTCTGACGTACCTGGATGTGGTGAGGCCGAAATAAGAACTGACGATTCAAATTTGACTTTTCTATGAGGTCATTGTCCGTGACGGTCATCTACAAGGGGCAAATAAAAATAAAGCTTCGTTCAAAATTACTGAACAACACTAAAAAAAATGACATGCCAACATCAAACCAATTAGCCTTAGAGTACAGCCGTTTGTAATCGCACGCCAGCCGCTTCGGATGTGACTCAAAAAGTAACCAGGGTCAATGAGAGTCCCTTTTTGAGTTCTATTAGAGGTATGGATGGCGCCATGGGTATGATTTTCAAGCAGTTCTGGTGCGGACTAGGACAACGATTGCTCAGAAAAGTGTTTAGTAAATACATATTTTTGATCGCGTGATCAGTGCAGGGTTTGATTAACATCAGGAACTCATTTGAAGCCCTTCTCAAATGGCTACAGAAACAGTTCCTGGGCGAAGTATTGATTTAACGGTCTGGTCTGAAATAAAGCATCGAATTTGGCTCGAGTCTAAATAGGTAAGGAAAATCACATGCTGCTTTGGTCTGAAATATAGCAAGATCAAGGTCTGATAGCCTGCGAGCAGGCTCACGTTGGAGCAAAAGCGGGCGCGCGAAATCGGGCGGCGAAGCCGCGAGATGAGAAATTTCACCAGACTCCCTCCCGCCGGATCGCTTTGCTCTTCGCCGCTCGCACATGTGGCTCAAAGGTGAGCCTGCGCGCAGGCTAAAGGTCTGAGTGCCGCTCTTCCCCACCACATTTTACGGGGAGTACCCGAGGGGATGAGGCAGGTTTATTCATAAACTACAAACGACTGAAATAATAATAATAAGACAATGGATATACCTTGCCACTGGGACTTCCTGCGATTCCTAAAAGAGCAAAATTCTTTAAAAGTTCACATCCTATAGCACCACATCCTACCTGCAAAAAGTAGAAATAGTCTTAAAGAAAATCAGAATTTTTCCACTCCAAAAACATTTCATAATGTTGCCGCGAGTGAGAATGACTTCCTTAACTTTTTAATACTGCTTCTAGATTTGACTTACTGTAGTAACTTGGTGGATGTATTAGGTTTTGGTCTTACGACCACACGCAAATGATAAAAACAAGCGATTGTTTCCTCTACAAACAATTTTTTCAACAACGCTATACAAATGTGAGAACTTTGAAAAAGTTCTCTAATGTTATTTGTCAGCACCTGACTGAGACAGACTTCTTGTTGAAGTGCCTTGCAAAGTGATGCTCAACTTCATGTCGAGCGTTTTATTGCATAGAATAAATAAAGTGTATCTCACCATGAACAACTTCAGATCTGACAGTTTACTACGTAATTCTTCGCCGATACAAATGCGTAGACAATCATATCGATCTTGTCTGGAAAAAAAAATACACAGAATGTTAATTAGTTAACCTAAGTCGGTGTTACATTTAGCTTCGTTTAGAAAGGAAATGAGAATACTGTATCCAGTGGAATCTCGTTATGACGAACAGCCCACCGAAAGATTGGTAGCATGGATGTACGAGAAGACAGATGGAAGGGCGGACCGAAGGACTGGGTGTCTGTCTGCCTGGTCAGTTGACTGACTGAATAACTGCGACGTAAATATTCGATAGCCAACGGGCCGCCAAAATCTTGCCAGGGGGA